GGTTTTTTTTGTCTCTAGCTATGCTCTGTTGTGCAAGCAGTTTCATTAACCCTGTAGCCTACCTCAGTTGTGAGGTGCTGGTACCATCTGGGTTCTTACCACTCCAGCAGCAGAGCAGGCTGGGAGCGGCAAGTGCTGCCGTGCTGTAGTGCTAGGGACTGAATTGTAGGCCCTGAACTGAAGTTGTCCTAGAGATGAACCTTACAACCCCACACTATATAGTATTAATCACGTGTAATGTATTGACAATCTATTTTAGCATATATATGCTGTATTTCAATGCCAGTCTGTAAAAGCTTTGCTGTAAGACTAAATGTGCGGTGGGAACCAGCAGAGTGATCTTTCTTTGGCTAAAGGCCAGGTGCAAGGCTGAGAAACTAGCTGCCTCGTCTTTTGTTAAAAGTATGTTACAAGACCGTGAGACCAGAGGCCTGGCTTTGGTGAGAAATATGTGATTAAGGACCGAAATAGATAGGGAGTCTCCCTTGTATTCTTCCTTTAGCCCTGGCCAAGCTGTGGGAGGAATCCATCGGAGTGGAAGAAGCTCCCGCATTCGAAGTTATGTGAGGTTGTTTATTTGATGGTGTAAAAGCTGGATCCTCTTGCAGCGATGGTTGGAGACCTCACCTACGAGTGGGCGCACTGTGTAGGACTTGCCAGTTGCTGGGATGGTTCTCCAGCATCCTCACTGCAACAGGGGCTCCTCAGCCGCTGTGGATCTGGATGATGATATTAGGGCGATTGGTGACGGATCTTTCTTAATAACTGTCATTAACCATATATAGTAATGATTAGGTGCATTACCCTGCTTGTTCTCCTTGCTGCTTAAAACTAGAGCATAATAAGCTTGCATTGCCTTTTTCCTGTAATACTTTGCAATAGACAATAAAATAGGCCAACCCTTCTGTTGATGCCTGTGTCCTTTTCTGCGGGACCCCCACTCCCCAGGCCGATTAGGAAATGAAACGCTTAGCAACAACTGCTGGCCTCTCCTCAGGCCTCTGAAGGCATTTGCCTGTTGGCTCAGGTGACTGCTTCTGGGGAGTTACCACTGAACGGGTCTGCTTGGGTGGAGACATATCCCAGCTTATTCTGTGCATCTGGTAAATATTACAGTTTGCGTAAAGGTACAAGTTGTGACTGCTTAGCACTTCAGTTCAACTTTAATACTGTATTTTAACTGCGGTTCTTATAATGTTGATTCTCAGTTTACGAACTATACCTGTTCTATAGGTGAAAATCTTATTTCATTTTAATATAAATTTCATTATAAAGCAATTTTCTATTCCTTCTGCGTGAGCATTCCAGACTGATAATGCTGTGAAGTTCCTGGTTTATGCTGTTTTAAAACAATATTTTCAAAGGTTGACTGATAATTTTTAATTCATTCTACCTGAGCAGCTTTGGTTGTTGTACAACAAAAATGCATGCAAACACAAAACTTGATGTAATACTCAACAAACTCATCAGCTGTAGTTGATGTGAATGCAATAGGCAGAGTGAATTCTTGCAGTATTTCTTTAGGACATTAGCTATATTTTAGAGACCAATCATATTTTAAAAGTTGTGCAATTTTGGACTCTTTATTTGGAGTGTGCATACTCCTCCAGTGAATTTTATATTCAAATAACAATAATGCTTACCTTATTCTGACAAGAGTCTGAATTACAAAATGTCCTTGTCTGATGGTCCACCAGCAGATAAACCCAGCACGTGTATCCATTGTTGCCTTTGGTCTTGACAGCAAAGATATTCCAAAAAATGTCCTAGGCCACTGATGTTCAAGACAACTGAAGATAAACTGCTCGCTTCATGTAATAGAGTGAATAAGGTTGCAACAACAGTTCTTTACCTATGGTTTGAGGAGAGATGGAGTATGGAGGATGCTATGTAAAATCTAATTATTATTTTTCACATGTAAATCCAAGAATTTGAAGCATTACATAAAGATTAGGCATAACTTAAGACGTTTTCTGACTTAAACACCAGATTTTCTACAAACTACATTTTGAATCCCTCTCATATGACAAGATTCCTATCTGAATGATTTTCACAGATGGGGATCTAGAAATTTGAAGCTGAACATGAAATGTATTACAGATTTTTCTAATTTGTGTTTGATTTGCTGTATTTGTTGTTTTTACAAGAATGATAAATAGTATTAAACATTAGTTTCTTTCCTGGCTTCCAGAAAACACAAAATGAAAGACTTTGTGTACTACTTCAGTGTTTTGGAGAGATCAGGATAAGTTACCAGGACTACTTAGAATCTTTCTCTGCTTCCCTCATCTTTCAAGGTATTTTGTTACAATGGCTGTCTTTATCTCGTGGGCAAAATAAGCAGTGTTACTTCAGTTCACTGCATTTGTCCAAACATTTTGCCACAGGGATAGTGCAGAGTTTGGACTTCTCATGTCTTAATCCAGTATTGAATCCTAGGTAGCAGGCTTAACTATGTGCAGAATAGTCAGCTCCTTTTTATGTGATCCAGAGATTCCCTGAGTGTTCAGAACTGAAACTTAAAAGGTGTTTTTCCTTGAATTACTGAGATTGTCTTTCTGTCCTCCCTACCATGGCACTAGTAGTGCTCCTCCACCCAGCTGATACATTGCTTCAAAGTGCTGATCCACCCAGAACTGGTAGTAAGTTCTTGACTAGTTCAGTTTTTGGTCAGACCAGCTGTCTTTGTGGAGCTTAAGTAATTATATGTGCACTAAGGCTGACGCGAGGGAAGGGATGACAAAGAGCAAAATCTTGCAAACCCCGCAGTCTAAGAAGCAGTAGGCCTGCATCCCTCTTTCCAGGTGGTTGTCTTAAAGGTGTACTTCAGGCAACGTGTTGGTTTCCTCACTGAGCAAAAGGTAAATCAGACCCTTTCAAGTCAGACTTTTCTCTTGTATGTTTGTTTGTAAAGTACCACTACCTGAAATATGTGACATAGCCTAAAATGTTTTATCAGAAGTAAACAATTACTGAGGGGGTGTTTATTTTTATTACTTAAAGCCTGTTCTTTTGTAAATTAAGGTTCTTTATTTTTTTACTTGGTGTCTTTAGAGTGACCTTTATTTTAGAGTGTAGTTTGTATCCTTTTCTGCTCTGAAGGAACAGTGCATGTTTCATATAATTCCATGCCCATTTTCAAAGCCTATCTGCCACTTGTGTACCCAAGCAACCAAAATTTAATAAGTGACTTTGATTGTAGCTGAGTCTGTTGCCCCTTGATTATGTGACATGAGTACTGGTTAGGATCCATACACAAGCTGATTCTCTTGTGTGCTAGACTCATACAAAATATAACAGATGGACCTTTTTTAGGTTAGCAATTTCCTACCTCTTCTCTGTTACTTGTGGAGAAACTTCCTTTTCCTGTCTGTATGCCTGCTGTATTACAGACCAGAAAGTCGAAATGGAGTTTATTATGAATGCTGTTGATTGACTTAACACTTCAACCACTTGAAGAGCTTCTATTTCAAGGCAAGCACATAAATACTGTCACTTAATGTATTTTTTGTTAGGGACAAGTGTCAGGAGTGAAACGCTTGTTGAAATTATCTTGTAATGAAAATATTTATGCATCCCATCCACAGTATATGTGAAATAGCCAACAATCCTCTGACGTGTTAGAAAACGGAGACTTTAGGTTCATACCTAGGTTTTGTGCCACCTGCCTACCATGCTTGTAAATGGGCTGATCTGAGTCTTTTCCAGCGCTCAGATGAGAATAATGTATCATTTCTTACAATGAACCTCACGGTATTCTGTTCTTATGCTTTTACTTACTGCATTAAATCATTCCCTTAAAGTTTTATTGCTATGCTTTTGGAACCCTGGATTGCAGGTCATGGATAATGCAGGAGTGAGGAAACCTCGCTCAGAACAGTTTCCTCTTCTGTGTTGCTGTGCCCCCTCCACTGTTTGCTGCTGGTCACTGGGTGTTGTGCTGTGACCCACATTCACCCTGCCTGCAAGCTTTGTCCTCTGGCCCTCTTCCAGCTTTTGCAGCACTGCTCCAGTTTATAGAAGTCTGTAGCAAATACGCAAACAGCATGAAAGCAAAGAGGCTTAGAATCGGGTCCTTCTCTCTATGGTTTTGTTCTTTTTAGGGGATTTGTTACATCTTTAGGTCCCATCATGCGATTAGAGCAAGTAATTCTGGAAGATGTGTGGTTTTATAATGGGATTGAAGGAGAGCTAAATAGAGGGTATAAATTTGGTATGCAGCTGAAAAATAAGATAATGAACTTGTCTCAAAGAATTACAAATCTGAATTTATACCAAGAGAAAACTAAATAGGTAAAGGTTTTGGTAATAATTATAGAAGATTTCTCGGTCATGTGGAATAATGTTCGAAAACATCTAGTGGTGTAATTGGAACATATCACTCGTATTAGGTTTAACAGTTAGTTATACTTTTGCATAATAGATTTAGTCCACAAGGAAGTTGAGCGATCTGTCCAAAAAACATACTTGTGGCTTTGATGTGCACGTGATGGGACGAGGTTGCCCTCCAAGTAGTGTGACTATATTATGTTGTTTAACAGGACTGGCAAACCTGCCAGGTGTATGAGTGAGTTTATCTTCTCTTGACCCTAATAACTGCAGAAAACCTTAAGAATTTATCATTAATAGCTTGTTTAAATTTTCTGCGCAATGCTATAGCATTGTAGGTATGCCTGTCAGCTGAAGCTGACAGAATCTTTCTGTATGGCTGTGACACCATTAAACACCAGTTAGATACTGACACTTAAAATAGTCAGTATGCCCAAAAGGATGGACAGCTAAAATACTATGTATAGAAAAATTACTTCTTTTTAGGCAGTATTCTTTGAAAGTATTTGTCCTTGGTGTCTGTATTTAGTACTTTTTTCAGGAGGGGTAGTGGCATGATCTTATTAAATAAATTTCTTGCAATAAAGTCAGGAGGCGGTCTTTTATGACTAAGCATGGAAATTAGTTACATCAGTGTAGTTTAGAAATTAAACTTTTTCTCCTCTGCAGGTGCACCTGTAGAGACATCTTCAGAGGAGCAGACAGCCTCTTGTGAAGGTAATTGTTTTCATGTTCCAACAGTACGCAATGCAGCTCCATTAAACATGATTTAATAAAAAACATTGCAGAGAATATTCTTTTTAAAAACCTCTGTGAATCTCTTCCAATTTTCATTCTCTTTATCCTCATACCACTCATGTAAGGCAGTGTGGTTATCTGTGGTTATTTACAATTTTATAGCCAGTCAAGCAAGGCACATAAAGACCGAGTGGTTTTATTGACGGTCATAAAGCTGGCATGAGGCAGAATTTTTAAAATTGGATCGCTGTATTAGATAACATTGACAAGTGCCCAAACATCTGAACTATCTTTTTATTAATTTAATCGTTCCATTTTTCTTTATTCATGATACTATCATGCTAAATACGTGTTCTTAATGATTACTTCTTTTTTTTCCCTATGTTTTTCCCTAGATTCAAATGCTGCTGTTAACATGGAAATTTCAGAATCTGTTGGTAAGATGGGAATTGTTCCATTTCACTGTGATAGTACTATAAAATACTACTTTTGCTGTGCCTTTAATAGTGCGTTTGCTGGATCATTGTGAACAAAATTGAAGAATACCTTATTGAACCTTTGTGCTTTTGGTCCTTACTAACTTTTGACGTGTCCTTACGCTTAGATTAGGAAAGAGGTAATCCAACACTCATATGCATTGACAGATGTAATTGGATTACTTGAACACTGAAAATGCATCAATGCTTTTTTTAAAAAATAAGTTCCTTTTGCAAAATAGTCCTATTAATAAGTGTGAAATGATGATTACCAAAAAACATTGGTGACCATTCATATGAGCAATGAGAATGTGGAAATTGCATTTTTCTCCTTGTATTTGTATGGCTTTTGAGAGAGCTTAAACCATTACTCCTTTTCTTTCTAAACACACGATGGTGTGTGTCTGAGTGTGGATCTAGCATGTTGATCTGAGTGGATCTTCAGATTTGTTTTTTCGTTGTAAAATCATTGCCTTATTAAAACAATTCCCTTAATCCCTGTGAATCATAGTTCTCTGATGTCAGCACACAAGCTAGTCTGAAAGCTTCCAGTCATAATCATTTCAAAACCAAGCAGCAGTTGTCCGTTTTTGTGTAGGAACACATTACCATGCCAGACAGTTGAAGTCTTTTGGTTGCATCTTTGGGGCAGGGGCTTGTCTGCACAGAAATTGCTTTTAATTTCAGTATCTATTTGAATATATCTAACTGGTTAATTTTTAGTGGAAAATGGAGAGACAGAAATGTCCCCAGAAGAGTCATGGGACCACAAAGAAGAAACAAGTGAAGCAGAGCTAGGAGGTGGTCCAGCAGTGGATGCAGGACCTTCTGAAGAAAGCACTCAGGAAATGATGGAAGAGGAGGAGGAAATACCAAAACCGAAATCTGTTGTAGCACCACCAGGTGCTCCTAAGAAAGAGCATGTAAATGTAGTATTCATTGGGCATGTAGGTAAGTTGCAAGTGAATGTGAAGTAATTGGATCTTTGTTGTGTTTTATCTAGAACTCGGACGATCAGAAATTAATCCTACCCTTTTGTAGGGATACGTGTATTCACCATGTCTTGAGCTTAATAGGAGCATTCATTCTAATGAGGCTGCTCTGGAAAAATTTGAAAACTTAAAGAATGTTTTCAGGGGTAGAGTGCCAAGGATAGAGTGCCTGTGTTCTCTTGGATACAACAGTGTCTATGTTCTTGATTTCTCAAGTAACTGCTCTGTTGAGTGCTTAAGTGACATATCCGTGTTTATGATCCAGAGAACAGAATCAGAAAGCAGTGCTCCTTTTCTGCTTGCTTTAAGTATTTTTGGGGATTCTTATTAATTGTTATTAAATTCAAAAATTATTATTCAAAATATTAATTGTAAAGCTGTAAATGGTAGTTGAACATAATTCAGGGTTAAAAGAAGCATTTATAGTAACATGTTTCAGTTGAATAGTTTCAAAAAGCTTCAGGAGAATCTGAAGTGGTAAGAAAAGTACAGAATTATTGAATCACGAGTTTTACAGCGAATTCTATATTTTCATTTGTATATTCTCTTATAATCTTTAAAGTACTGTAATTTAGTCCCTGGGTATATTCAGAGCAGAGTCACGCAAGGTAAAGAGGCAGCAGGCAGAGGTGCATCCTAATACTCAAGAGCAGCTCACAGAGGTTAGGGACAAGGGAAAAGGCCTTGGCTAGAGCTACACTTTTGGTGGATCGCTGCTTGTTGAAGGTGTTCGTTTTGGATAATGTTGAGTTTATATGTAGGAAAACATGATTTTCAAACTGTAGTGTAATTAATTAACGATTAAGTATTATGGAAACAAAGGGAGCTGCGAGATGCTTCAAAAAACAGATTACAATTTAAAAAGGGTATCTTTGAAAATTAATTAGATGACCGTGTTCATAATTACTTTCTTTTTCTAGGATTTTGTTTTAAATTGTGATTGACAATTTATTTTAATCTTTTTTAGATGCTGGCAAGTCAACTATTGGAGGGCAAATAATGTAAGGAAGCTCTTAAACAAAATTTTTAGATTTGCTGTTCTTGTCAATTAAAAGTACATTGAAATTAGTAATATTTTCTTTATGGCTTTAATCACCTGTCAGTTTAGTTACTTAATGTCTTTGGAATTTCTTAATTCCAGCGGATCTAGTCTTATCACTGTAGGAGTTTCACTTAATGGAAACAACTATGCAAAAGTAGCCATTATTAAATTTTAGAAACTGAATCCCTGTCTCAGAACTGTTTTTCTTCGTAATTTTTAAATGCTATTTGAAACTGCTTTATACCCATTGTTAAACTTCATCCTTTTTGTGAAGGTGAAAAAAAAAGAATATCTGTTCCCTGATGTAACATTGTCAGGCATAATTTGGTTTCAAAATGTGAAATTACAATAGTTCATCTTTTAAGTCTATTTTAGAAACATTATTTAGAGACTGCAGTATTTTTGTGAGACAAAAGTAAATAAATGCAGTTAGATCTTACAGTTTGTAAAATACAAGAAATGGAAAGTAGTGCATGAAGAAATAAATGCTACCCTGCTGATGCAAAGTACTTATATGATTTTAAAATAATCTTCTCAGCAGAAGTGAGAGGTCTTTGTCTTGGCATTTTCATCTTGTTTTGTTTTGACCATACTGGAATGCTGAAATTGTCATGCTACATTTAACCTTGTGGTTCATACTAGAGCAAATTAGCATTTTATTATTTGATGTGTCTGAGTATTCTCCTTGTACAAGGAGATGTCTATTCTTAACACTCCAACTGATGAGTTGTGTTCCTAAAGCTTTTTGTGGGCATTCTCTTTTGGAGAACATCTTTTTGTTGTAAGGTGAGAAAAAAAAGAAGTGCTTGTACTAAGTTTGTCATTAACTCTTTATTTACTGTTATAATTAATTTTCCTTATAAATTAAGTAGATTACTGTTATTAGAGGGTCAGATCGAAATATCTGAGGGAAAAATATGACATTTTTAATACAATAATACTGTAACTACTCACTTATTTTCATAACTGAAAGATCTCAGGTTTACTTGTTCTATTTAAAGAGGATGAAACCCAAAATATTTTTCTTTATGGTTCAGAAAGGAGGGAGGGGGTGCTTGCGAAAAATTCTCCTTTCACAATTTTTACTTAATTTTGAAATATTGGATTAATCTCAGAAATGGACTTAACAAATGACGTTCCTTTTCAAAACCTTGCCTCTGCAGAACATGTTATAATTAGGCTTAAAGAAAGACATTCCTCATACTTTTGCTCAGGTGATACTTGTGTACTTTTACATATCAGATAATGGTGTAGAGAAAAAAATCCATTACTGCTGCTTGCATTGGGCCGTTTCATTTTTTTTCAAAATAATCTGTGTGGTTTGTGCAAGTATTTAAATATTGGGAACTGTGTTTCTGTTTATGTAAAACTGCACTTTGGTGTTTTTTTTCCCCTCCCTTCTTAGGTATTTGACAGGAATGGTTGACAAAAGAACACTTGAAAAATATGAAAGAGAAGCTAAAGAAAAAAACAGAGAAACATGGTATGAACTTACTGAGGATAATAGCATGCCTTTTCTCTTTGTGCTATGATGAAAATGGGAAGCTGGTTTTTTCCTCTGTCCCAGTAACACTGGCTTCCTGCTGGAATGGGTTTCGAGTGGCAGTGGCAAGGAAACTCTTGTTTTCCTCCAGTATTTCTTTAACTAAAACTATATGAAACAGGGTGATTCACATTAGAATGGGTTTTGTTGCTCATATGCTTCAGAAAACTTAGTTGCTAAAAAGGAATACAAGACAGACACTTCTCCCAGGCAGCTCTTGGAGTCATTCTCTCTGTCTTTCACCTGTAAACAGCACAGAGATATCTAAGGGATAAGAGATTAACGCTGTCAGTTTAGCAGAAATGAGGAGGGAGTGAGTAGTTTTGGCTGTCATCTTGTATCTTGATTTTTATGTAAATAGAGACTGCAGTTCTTAAGTTTTCTCCAGGCAAGGCAATGCAGCTGACTTGTGTGGATTTTTTTGTAGGCCTCTTGGCACGGTTTTGAGTTTTGTTGCTGTCTTTTGGTTGGTTTTTGGTTTTGTGCGTGTGTGTATATACAGCACATACGGCAGCCTGCTTTCTTCTTCAAGCAACTCCTGGCAAATTGATTTTTCCTTTTGGAAACTTTCCATTTTTGACTGTGGTGGAGGAAAATAAGGGTTCAAGGGGCTCTGGAAAAGAAGCAGCTAAAGGCTTTCTTAGGGAAGGTATTATGTGTGAGAGAGGGGGACAGAAAGGGTGACACGTGCTTTGTAACAAGGAAGCATCATCCCCCTATTGGAAGTAGACCATAGTAATAAGTATTTCAGGACCTTTCTCAAAAAACCTGGACATCTTGAAAAACAGATTTCTTCACTTTCTTTCTTGAAAAACAGAATGAGTTGCAGGAGGAATCTCCTTGAGTGCTATGTTTTATCCGTTAAAACATGTCATGATGTGTGACAAAGTATGATGTACCTCTGTGTCGTTATCAAAGATCTTGTTAGCTTGCTTCATACATTGAGAGTCTTGAAATTTGAGCCATTTTACTTTGTGATTCAGAAAGTTCTACACTGAAGTGCATTGTTGACATTTCAGTCAGAAATTCCCTAAAAAACCCTATGTGCAAAAAGGAAAATTCCTGCTTGACTCTTGTTAGCTGAGTAAAACCTGAGCTTTGGCTTGGCTGAAATCTTCCAGAAACATGAGCCATGGTGAAGATTGCAACACGTAGGAGCATGCGTAGTGGTACAAACCAAAAGCCATCTAGCATGCGATCTAGACCTCCCTCAGTGACAAACAGCTCGTGCCTGGGGAAGACAGTCGTTATATATCCATCGTTCCCAGTGCTTAGTGCTTCCTCTGACTCAGGAGCCTTCTGAGCTGGAAATGACATCTTCGTGTTTAATAGTCCCTGACTCTCCATCCCTGATCACTGGTCGGCTGAGTTAGCAGTGTCTCTGCAGACACTATCTAGTCAATACAAAAGACCAGCTAGGGGTCTTTATGAGCTGCTGTTAATGGTGAAAAGTGTTGGTGTGTTAAGCCGGGTCAATTTACTTATTACTATTTTTTTTTCTCCGTAGTGAGAGGTGGTTTTTTTCTCTCCTTTCTACTCACCAATTTTTACAAAACCTGAAGGAGCTAAATAACTCTTCTTTGAAATCTCAGTTCATCTGTCTAACTTAAATCTAACTTGTTTCTCAATCGACAGTGGGATAAAATATAATTATGAGTTGAAATTATCAGAGTATCAGAGAGGGTGAATAAAGGTGGTGTTTGTTTTATAGCAAACTTCTGGTTAATATGTGCAAATAAATGAGAACTAATAATAATAGTTCTCATATGTGCATATCAGAACTGATTTTTTCACTTAATTATGCTGAGAAAGAGGAACTGTTTTCTGTTTGATCCAGAGGTGTTTTTCGAACTGAGGCAAAGCTTGAAGTATTTGAGGTTAGACCATACTTGGAGAAATTAGTAACTGATAATTTTTTGTAGAATTGCATCCTTCTAGGTGTGTGAGGGAGAGCTAGTGCTGAGCGCTACAGCTCGGTATACACACCGAAAACATTCAATAAAATGTCATTATTGCTCTTGGAAATGCTAAAGTTCAGTAATGCGGCGGTTAGAAGAGTTGAACAGGAAAAAAAAAATTGTGATGAACAAATCACCTTATATAAATTTAGTAAAGATTAATGCAAAAATAGAATATTTGGGTTGGTGTTTTGTTTTTTAGGTACCTTTCATGGGCCTTAGACACAAACCAAGAAGAACGAGATAAAGGTAAAACAGTAGAAGTGGGTCGTGCCTATTTTGAAACTGAGAAGAAACACTTCACTATACTAGATGCTCCTGGACATAAGAGTTTTGTTCCAAATATGATTGGTGGGGCTTCTCAAGCTGATCTTGCTGTGCTGGTAAGGAAAAACCATATTTTTTCCTTTTGGATATACTGTGGAATGAAGGGTTTTATTTTAATTTTTTTGTTTCCTCGTTTAGTCTCTTGGTTAGTTGCAGCAGGCAAAATTTTCAAATCTTGCCAAGCTGAATGTCCACAGGTATCATGTTTTGTATGTATCAGTGCAGAAGCTAATGGGTAATACTGAAGATATGACAGTGCATTTTGAAAGCTTTTACCGGTTTTGACTACCCAAAGTTATTTTTCCTTAGGACAGTATTACCCGTTGTCGATTTGTTCCGTTGAGAGAATTATAGAACCTTTAATAAAACTTGTATTTTTAATTAGGTTATTTCTGCAAGAAAAGGAGAATTTGAAACTGGATTTGAGAAAGGTGGACAAACAAGAGAACATGCCATGTTAGCAAAGACAGCAGGTGTAAAACATTTAATAGTTCTTATTAATAAAATGGATGATCCAACTGTAAACTGGAGTAATGAAAGGTGAGTTTAGTATTTTTTTTAAACTAATCTTCATTGAAAGATACTGAAGTAAAATAATTCCCAAGTAAAGTATTTTTTTGCATCCGATTTTTGACCAAAAAAAATGGTAGGCTGGTGGACTAAAGGCAGAGGTTATCAAAATTGCAGGAAAAACAGAAGTGTAGTACCTATGGCAGTGCCTCTGCTAAGCTTGACGTTCTGTGCTGCTTCAGAATGCTCACTTGCAGCGGTTTGGTATTTAACAAATCCATGTATTCTAACATAATTGAATTGTTCACTTGGAAACTTCATACTGAACCTAAAAGGAAGCAGCTGTTTTCAGTACATCAGTTTGCCACATTCTTGATTGCTTGGCCATGTTTCTGCTGAACTCCTAACTTAGATTTGGTGAGAACAGTGTTATCCTCTTCACCTTACGCATTAACCCTGTATTATTTGGAGTTGTTCTTTTATGATAATCTGAATAGAATAAGCAAATTAATATTTTGAAGTGGTTCATGATTACAGTCTGAAAATCAGGGAGGGAGAGAATCTTGTATTAATACGGGCCAAGTAAAAACAACTAGAAAGTCAATATGTAATATTTAAATAATTAATTAAAAGGAATCATTTATTATTTTCTGCCTTAACACTCAAATGTTACTGAAGGGTTTTAATTTTCCTAACTGTCAAAACTTAAGTCTTTTTATGGCTTCTGTCACGTCTTCCTTCTCATCCCTTTAAGATAGTTACTACATGTGTAACTTGGTTCTTCCCTAGACATACTTGTGTAAGGACAGGATACAGTTTTCTTCCACAGAGCAGTGTAAAAAGTTGTCAGATAACTTGGGCTGTCAAGAATTGGGGAAGTTTTGTGGAAAGCTGTGAGGAACTATGCAACCTTATAACACCAGCGCAGTTTACTAAGAGAATAAGGCGTGCCCGATTGTTCTGTCTTGGTCCTGCTCCAACCTTCTGCCATTATTAAATTCAGCTGAAACTGACTGGGGGAAGAAGTGTTATAGAAGTAAATAGCATTAAATATAATACATACAAATATATTTTAATATATATAAAAATGTATTTTATGTATATTACTTATGTAGGAGATTAGTGGTGCCTTGGTCTCTTCCAAAGCTAAAGCCTGCAGCATGACCTCAGGAGCTGTCTGCTTGGTCTGTGCTTCTGTCTCGGCCTGGACCTCTTACATAAAAGCAGATGTAGCACATGCTGCTGCTTACCTAGCCCAGAAGAAAAGTGATAATGCATCATGGAGCAGAGGAATGAGGGGGAGGAGACAATACCAAGTTGTGCTGAAAAATCAGGGAGAAGATGCAGATAGGCCACTAAGCTTTATTAGGTTTGCTTACTGCTCACAGAATAACTTTACTGCTGAAAATTAAATGCCTGGAGTTTGTTAGGCTTTTTTAACCACAGTGTTATGTCATGCTGGAATGATTAAAAGTTATCTTGATCTGCTTGTCATTTTAATAGATATGAGGAATGTAAAGAGAAGCTGGTGCCATTTTTGAAGAAAGTTGGCTTCAATCCCAAAAAGGATATTCATTTCATGCCCTGCTCAGGACTGACTGGAGCAAACCTTAAAGAGCAGTCAGAATTCTGTCCTTGGTATATGTATGTATCTTAAATTGAACAACTTGGATATTTGCTGTGTTTCAATAGAAGTAAATATTTCACTGGAGCTGGGAAGCAGTATAGCATAATGTGTTGTAGCTGTGCTCTGCAGTGCTTGAGTTAAATACAGTTAGGGCAACAAGAACACAGCCGTGCAACAAGCCCAATTAAAGCATTTGCTAATTGCAGAAGATGAAAGTTAGGAGACTCTAATAGTATTAGCAATATTCTTTGGCTTTGTGAGTTTAAGTGCCATACTAGCCCTTCAATTTTCCAGGGATGTTGTAGTTGACATGTTGCTAGAATGAGTAATTGTTTGATATAAACAGTTTGCTTGGAGCTGTATTAAAATTAGTGACAAGCCATGTCTCACTGGATGTCATGTTTTCCAATACTGTTCGTGACAGTTAAAACATAATAATGAAAATCATGTTTGAACCTAGCTTATGGTTTTGTTTTTCCAAAACATATTACACATCTAGCAAGATTCTCAAAGAAATAATTTGCGTAAAATTTGACTGTAATGTAACTTTAAAAACACATGCACCTCCTAGGTATTAACACGTTAGCTCAGATGAAGTGAACACTAATGGTGGGATATTATGATAGATTTCATTGTCTTAGAGGTCACTGTTCTTAATGATGGCAGAATGAAAATAATTCCTTTTGTTGGACTGCATTTATCCATTCTGAGTAGTTTTTGAATAGAAGGGTGCTCACTAAATTGAAATGAATGCCTTCTGCTCTTTCAGTGGATTACCATTTATTCCATACTTGGATAATTTGCCAAACTTCAACCGTTCAGTTGATGGACCAATCAGGCTGCCAATTGTGGATAAATATAAGGTACAAATTAAAATAATAGGATTGGAAGTATAAATGGACTGTTCTCAGAAAGCAGTAAAAGGACCATTTAGTGGGTTTTTTAGAGGATATCTTTTTTCTCTTCATTAATGTGTTTACATTTCCAACTGGAATAGAGACGGGGAGGGGAAGCAAATAATTCTGGCACTATTTGAGACTCTTAAAATCTGTACTCTTTCCTGAGAATGGTTTCCAAAGCATTAAGTGTAGCAGTGCTAAATAACGGAGTTAAGTAATCATGCTTAGAGTTAGATCATAAATACAGCAGACTCTTTAGAAACATGTTTTCAATTTTCATGCAATAATTTCTTCCTGCAAAGGATATGGGCACTGTGGTCCTTGGGAAGCTGGAGTCAGGCTCTATTTGCAAAGGACAACAGCTTGTGATGATGCCAAACAAGGTATGGTATGGTTGAGATATTAAAAAAATATTAGTACCCTAATAAAAAAGCCTGATTCTTTAAAATATTAATTAATTCAGAAGTTTTAAGCTTTCATGTTTTACATGGCAGGTGTTTCCAGGTGTGTCGAGGGGGTAGTTTACTTCCTTAGCATTCAGAGCTCACATTGTCTCTCCTTAGTAAACTCAGTTGCTGGGCCACAATTCATAGTTTACTTGAACTGTGTTTTACTTTACATTTGTTCAGCTGATCCACAAAACTTTTTTTTTCTTCTGTGGGTTAATATTGCTCAAGACTTTCCTTCTTTTTTCCCTATTTTTGCTTTTTTTTTTTCTTTTCCCTTCCCCAAAGGGAAATAGGAAAAAAATTAAAGGATGCAAACAGTACACAGTGTTCCAAAGAAAGACCTAAGGTTTGCTTTAGTTAAGAGTAGGTTGTTTTTGCAGGTAGGTAGCTGTTCTTAATACAAGTCGCTATTTGGAATCATTGTGCTGCCTTGAGGAATGTGAAAATACAAGAATGAAGGATGGGAAGATATAGCTGGGGAGAGGCAGAGGATGAGAATAGTGTGCTAAACTAGTGGTGGTGTTTATTTCCGTTGGTTTCTTAGAAAAAGGGTTTGGAAATTTTGTTCTTACCTATTCATGTTATCTTGATTGTAAGCTGACTTTTTCCAATTCTGCAGGCTGAGGTAGTTTGTTAGAAAGTGTCTCAATACTGAAAGGTTCAGTAGATGTACAGCTTACTGAAAGCTGCTATTTCCTAATCACAATATGTGAATTAGATTGATTTCCATGTCACTTTTCCCAAGGTCTGTTGAAGCTGAAACTGAACTGAGACAGTTTGACATTGTGCTGTTTTTAAGGTAGTTTAACAGATGGTGCGTTTTGTGTAGCTGCTTGGCACGCATCTGACACCCATGTTACTTTGGGGTCAGTTAGGATAAATTAATAAACCATGAATGGCTTTAACTAAACTGTTACAGAATTTGTGTTCAGTAAATAGCCAGTGCTTTTATGACACATTTTGGAATTATTAATTTGGCAACTAATGAGGATTTAACTAAAAACTTCAGGAAGTCAGAACAATAGATCTGTTTCTGAAACTACTCTTTTTTAACTTCTTTGGCTTTCCAATACTTATTTTCTGTTGATATCTAGTGCTACGTAAAGATAGAAAAATCAGAAGAGAGGTTAGAACATATAGGACCATTAGAGTATACATTCTGGAGTTTGCTTGGAGAGCGTTCATTAATATACATTTGGTGTTTTTATCTTCTCTAGGGAATCTTGTAGAATTTGGGGATTCTAGAATTTCCTGAATAGTGTTTAAATATTTAGACTGATACATTTTGAATGTAACAAATCTGTACAACAGTGTGGCTTTTGCATTCTTAGGTAATATGCATCCATTGTATCTCTCATCTTTAAGTTTTAAACTCATTTGACTTTGAGAAATACTGGATATTTTTAAAATTTGCTTTCCATTGAATATATGCTATAGAGGTATATTAAAATATATTTGATTAAATGTACTATTTTAAATATTAGCAATTTTTCATTCAAATACTTCTAAGTGTTCAGGAGCTTGTAGAACTGAATATAATGAATTTAATTTGAAGTTGTATTATTTATTGAAATTCTGTTGTATTAATGATTCTGTATCAGACTAAAATATTCACAATAGGAAACTGCATTTTTGCTTTCTTTAAGCACAATGTGGAAGTTCTTGGAATCCTTTCTGATGACGTAGAAACTGATTCAGTAGCCCCAGGTGAAAATCTAAAAATCAGACTGAAGGGAATTGAAGAGGAAGAGATCCTTCCAGGATTTATTCTCTGTGATCCCAACAACCTGTGTCATTCCGGACGCACGTTTGATGCCCAGGTAGAATAACTTGCATTTAATTGCTGTGTAGCATTCAAATGTTTTGCTTATGTTTCACCAAATCTAAACTTTAATAGTTTGAAATTTCGTTCAGATTTCTTACTCGCTGTCATATCTTGTAAGTTGATAATAATGTATATACCTGACACTCTGATGTCATTAATTAGGGTTCTTAAAATATCATTTATTTTGAACACAACATGCCAGTGAAGTTTTAGATACCTGTAGTTGTGAAAACAAGATCTTGTCAGGCCAATTCTTCCATTTTACACTTTCATACTATAAACAGCTTAGTCACTTATAAATTTTCTTTTCCTTTCACAAAAGTTTGTGGGTATTGTTCAACTGCACATTTTAATACAGTTCTGTATTTGGTTATTCTCTTTTGTTATTGAAATGGGGAAAAATGCACTTATTTTTAATTTTTTTACAGATAGTGATAATTGAGCACAAATCCATTATCTGCCCAGGTTATAATGCTGTGCTGCACATCCACACCTGTATTGAAGAAGTTGAGATAACAGTAAGTGTCCTTTTGAGCTGTGATGTGAATATAAACAATCTGCTTGTTTAGGCAAGGAGTTCTGTCATGACACAACTAATGCAACACAAACTCCAGCCTTGAATGGAGTCTTTGGTCAGTACTGTAAGACAATGCTGTAACTTTTGGCATAAGCCTTCTGAAAGGCTTATGGTAAGTCATGATTGGTAAGTCTTATGTAGTAAATCTTAGAAGTGTATGGGTGGGTGTTTATTTTTACTTGTTTTCTTTCTTAGACTATTTCAGTTTTATTCATAAGGAAAACCCCTTGTTTTAGCACTCACAGCTATTCATCTTTTTATTACACAGGCCTTAATCTGCTTGGTAGACAAAAAGACAGGAGAAAAAAGTAAGACACGGCCCCGTTTTGTGAAACAAGATCAAGTATGCATCGCCCGTTTAAGGACAGCAGGAACTATCTGCCTTGAGACATTCAAAGATTTCCCTCAGATGGGTCGCTTTACCTTAAGAGATGAGGGTAAGATTGCTTCATCAACAGTTGTTAAGTGCTGCAAAAATAGTTATTTGAAGCAGGAGCTCATGCATGGCAGTGAGATATTATTGAAACGCTACTGTCCAATGGAAATCACTATCTGGGTAGCAATTGAGGAGTAAATATAAGCAAATTGCTGTTACTGTGCAGAGTTCTTTGCTAGTAGCAAAAAGTGTGTTAGAAATGCGCACTGTGGAACAAAAGGTTGAAGTTGAAAAATTAGCAGCAATGTTTTCTTAATGTATCTTGGAATGTCCACCTGCAACATGAATGCAGTAGTTTCTGTATTTAAAGTTAGAAAACGTAAGGGACGTTTTATGTTGGGCTTTAACTCATGCTTACTCCAGTAACACTCACAGATTTGTGGGATGTATTTAAATAAATCATCTTTAAAAGCAGTAAAGAGATGTGGTAGAATGATCAAGCGTTGTCTTCTCCTTAGATTAATTTTTAGAGCAGGCTTTCCACAATCCACATTGCCTTCTTTACTGCGAGAATAACAGTTTTACTATTTTGAAGATTTTGTTGTGCTTTTAAAATATACTGGTGCTTTCATTCTATGACAGAACAATGTATTCTCTGTATTATATCTAGTCCTCTGTTTTTGGGGAAGGTTTTTGAGACTTACACATTCTTTTCACAATGTGTGTAACTCTACTATTTGTTTCCTTGGTTTAGGTAAGACCATTGCAATTGGAAAAGTTCTGAAACTGGTTCCAGAGAAGGACTAAGCATTTTTCTCAATGACCCCCGCACAATACTGTGAGGAAAATCGACTCTGCAAAAGCCTACTTCACACCGCCTTCTTATTTTCTGCCCATTGATAAACTTCTCCCCATATTTTGCAAAGACAAATTTCACAGCAAAGGTCCACATTATGTCAGCTTTCTCATATTGAGAGCTCTGCTATGCCACTGTTGAATTTTCCCAAAAAGAATTTTTTTTTCTCCCAAATTCTGCTTCCTTGGAAAGATTCGGCAATAGCTTTGTAAGTGATGTGGACATAATTGCCTATAATTATGAAAATCTAAAGGATTTTTAATGTTTAATTTCCCCCAGCATATATATTAAGACCTCTTTTTTCCAGGCAGATCATTCAGAGTGTGCGAGTGTGTGTGCACATGTTACAAAGATGACTACCATGTTAATAAACTATTCAATTTGAAATCTTTTTCGGTATTTGAATTGCTTTTGAATAATGTTTTTTATCTGGATGTAACACAGTTGCATTAGCTTTTTAACTTTCCAGTAACCTAGGTACTTGGTTACTTGGACTTTTCTAAACTCCTCAGCCTCCCGACACACACAGTTTTAAATGAGGCAATCGGGCACTCAAACAAGTTTGTATTAAAATAATTAGATTCGCGCCTTCCCTTTGTTGAATGCATTCTTAAAATCAAAAAACATTCATGTGAATGTGGCACCTTCATTAGCTTTACGTTTGTTAATATCTCCAGCAAATTTAGTCGACTAACATTGTTACTAGACACAGTAAGTCAATTTTGAAGGCTAGAACTACATATTGTGTCTTTATAAAAATTCAGCGTTATTAAATTCTTAACTGCAGAAAATGCTAACAACGAGTAAATCAGTGAAACTTGCAAAAATCAAGAGAATTTGTGGCAATAATGCCTATTGGTATTTATAAGAGCTGCATTTTGGGGGAGAACTGGGCCAATTAAAAAGTGCCAGTTACGTAAGTTACTTAGTTCACACTGTCTTTAATTTAGAGGGCTGGATAATCCTTGCTGTTTTAAAGATCAGTCTGAACTGAGAGGGAGGAATATTATTTATATCCCGAAAAGTTTGCACATACTGAAATATGGGAGGGTCAGAATCAAGCACAGTCTGTAAATTTTTGCATATCAAAATGCAGTGTAAGCTTATGAGGACCAGTGAAGTTTTTCTTGAGAAATTAAAGCAAAACTGGTTCAAAATAAAGCTTACTCAGTACAACTTGAAGGAGCTGCGTTATAAAACCCTATTTAAATACACTTTCAAAGTAGACTGTCTACAGTTGATATCCTGATTCTAACAATTAGGATGAAGGCTAACAGACTTTTTTTTTTCCATTTCCCAGAGTATTAAAAGGTATCTTCAGAGCTTCTTCATAATGTCTTAAACTAAACATTTTCAGTTGGACAATTGTGGTGAGCCCATCTCCTCCCCCAGAAGTTTACAGTCTAGTGACTGTATCTGAATTAACAGATAACCCAAAACTGAAACAGATTTACCTTTTGGGGTTATTTTTTTTTGTTTTGTTTGTTTCTTTGTAACTGTGGAACTCCCATCATTTCACTTACAGCTACATTGTATGGACAGGAGAAGTTATTGTCCTTCAGTTTCATATGACTACACTTGTAGCTACCGTAATGCATGGAATTTAAATAAATTTTATTATGTCTGCAAATCTCTGGGCTTTTATTTTTTGGCAATTCAGAGTTTAAAAGTAACTTTTTTTTTTCTTTTGTCTACTAAGTGAACAGTTCCTTGGGTCTTAAACTAATGAAGAAATTAAAAGCCAAGGAAGCTTACTGTCTTGTTCATATTCTGGACTGACCTAATTCCACATATCTGACTGCTTTCTTGAAGTAAGCTCATGGATCTGAAATTGCAAAGACTGTTACTGGGGAATACTCAACAGTTAGATTCCTGTATTGTTAGAACTTTCAAAACTTTTTTTTTTTAAAAAAAAAGGCATTGAAATGCATCTCAAGACTACATGATGCTGCAGTGGAATTTTTCCACTTTTGAGCAAACTTAATGAGGGAATCTAAAACTTCATCATTTTGAGGCTGGGCTGAGTATTTATTATTAAACTGAAAAATAATGTAGTGGGTTGAAATACCAGTAGATAGAAAGTCTAAGCATTTCCATTACTCATCCCATCTAATGCATTTGATTACCATTTCCATAAATCCAGATAAAGTTACCTTGTCTGTAAAGGCAGTCTAAATTATTTCAAGTTCATTAAGAGAATCTGCATTATACAATCAAAGATACTGCTACCTTGTAGGAGATTTTTATTTAGGTATAAAATATTTGCATTTTACAACAAACATACTGATATGAAAATGTAAGGTATAAATCTACAAAAATTGGCTGCATTTGGTGTTATATTTGAATAGTCCTTAGATTACATCTCAACTTTTTCATTTCATCTCCATTCTACATTTTATAGTCCCATTTTTACTACTACTGAGTACAACTAAATCTAGATGAAAGAAGAAGAAAACATAATGTGGCTTTGTTTGAAATAAGTACTATTTGCTGATTCACTGATGTAATAAACTTTTTTAAATGACCATTTTGATGACTTCCTTTTGTGAAAATGTGGCATGCTGCTTTGAAGATAAACCAAAGGAGCTGTGCAACCACAACAGTTGGAAAGAAGGGCGGGAGCTGGGGAAAGGGAAAGAAAAGTTGGGTTGAAACTACAGGAACCTTAGGAGCTGGTGCACCTGTGTTAGGTTACCATACTGGCAGAGTATTCTTGGGTCCTGGCATGGCTCTAACTTGGACCAATAAAACTGTGAGTGTTTTTCTGCAGAAAGGAGGGATTTGGGCTTCCCCCCTCCGCAGTGTAATGGCATTTACAGCAGTCTGTAATTGCCACATGATATGGATGATGGTCACATCTGTTCTCCCTGATTTTTGGCCCAAGTTTGTAGTGTAGATATGGCTTAAGCATATAGCCTTGTTGTAACTTAGAAAAACATAAATTATAATTCTATAAATTAAGACCTTGTATGTTCTTGAACTGACAGCCTTGGTATATGTAACAATAATTGTAAAAAAAAAATCAATGTGCAGCAGTACTATTTATTTTGCAACAGGAAAATAATTACTTCTGCAAGTTGCAAGAAGTAAAGCACACTTAGAGGAGGAATGGGTACACTGAGCAATTGACTACCATTGCCACCAACCCCTACTTGAATCCATTCCACCTACCTTGGTCATCTTTGTGGACAGTCAGGAGCTGATACACAAACGTGATGGCACCAGTTTCCTGAGACACTTGCTCTAGTAGTAAATTGTATTCTTGAACAACAAGCTATTGATGGTGGCGTAGTAGTGTTGTAAGAAAAATGGCTGCTTTAAGGAGGTTTATCCATGGGGATGTTTGCTGGTCATTAATTTTATGCCCCTCTACAGATTTTTTTCAGCAGCATAAAAGCCCAGCAAAAATTGCTTAGTGAAGAACCTCTGTTTTAGACTACTTATGGCACCAGTCCATGTATTAAAAACTATATTAATTATGGGAAATGTGTTTTTATAAGTGTTTATTACTGAATATTACCTAAGGAAAAAAGATTGTTTCAATGTCCCAAGTATTTGATTCTGTATTACTCTGGCTTTTATGTCCTGAATGCAGACTGTTCAAATGATGATGTTAAAGCAGATGAAATGTACTCCAGACAAGACTGTTTTTTTCCTGAACTGGTACTTACAGGCTCTTACTTACTCTGTTTTTGTATATCCTATAGAGGATTTGATAAAGAAAAATATACCAACAAAACTGGAGTTACGACTGAAGATTTTATATTGTGAACCTTTTTCTTTCCTTGTGTTTATTTTAACGCACTATAAACCTGACAAAATATTTCTTTTCCTCTAAAGAAATGCTAGAAAGGAATCTAGTCTTAATATAAAATGGAAATTTATGCTAACAAACCCAAAATCTGTTGTGTGTATATATAACTTTTAATAATGCGTATTCTTTTGTTGCTTTCCTTATCCAAAAGTCTCAGCTTTCCAACATAGATTAGATTTTTCTACATCTCCCCTCAGTTACATACACCTAAAATAAAGCCTGCTTATTTCTGAGTAAGAATAATAAGAGATATGACAGATTGACAGTTGGATGAAGACAAGGTGCTTGAGGCTGTCTCCCTGTCATCTCTTAAGCCTGTCAAAGGATTATAACAAGAAAACTTTGCAGCTTGTGTCACGGAGACAGCTGCCTCTGTTCTTCTGAAAGTAGTCTTGGACTAAGTGAATAATTTGCACTGTAAGCAGCCGTCTGTTTGACAGTTAATTAGATTATAGCTAGAGGCTTACGCTAGGATTGCAAAGGAACACAATCTAAAGAAAACTAGCGTTTGAACTCCAGATCTAGCGTGGAAGTTCTCTTCTGAGTTCTCTTTTGTGAGGGCCTTCTTACTCCTGCTTTAATTTCTGCATATTCTTTGTGCTAGTTTTGTTGTAAGAAGCATGCTTATAGAGATTTTGACATCTTCCATCAAATAATCTGGAGGAACCCAAGCCTGGTACTCAGACTTTTGGGATGCACACTAAGGGAGTAATCTTAAACCTCAAAGACCTGTTTACAGCAGAAACAATTGCTACTTGTACATCCCTTTTGCTGGGAGAAAGTATAAAATTAGGGATATACAGAAACATCTTCTTAAATAAGTATTAAGGTGGAATGGCTTGCAATTGTGTAATTTTAAATCCTAGCATTGAAATAAGTGTGACTAATGGCTTAAGGAAAAACGTTCTTTCATGATCAGAAAAGTTAAATTGAGGGCTACAGCAGAATGTTTATTGTAAAGTAATAACATTGATGAAAGTAACAAACCTAATTTCCCTTGTAAGATTAACTATTGATTTGTGAACCTGCTAAATTAAAAGCATACTCTTTATAGTTTATATTCATTCCTTACTGTATTAAACTGAAGTATTTGTTATCCAGAGATGAACTTATTTTTCCAAAGCAGCTCTATTAGCCATGTCAAACACCTTTCAAGAGGAAATTATCGTACCAAGTCAGTTAACCACATCTAGTAAAAAATAGTCATGTCAGGCTTAAAATGATGCAGAAAAAATGTGCATGGATGAGACTGGTAAGTGAAAAATTTGAATTCCAGTCACTAATAATAGTCCTTTTAGTTCTGTCCTATTAATGCTATGCTGACCAAGCACAGTCAGGCTTCAGATGTACTGTTCAGTCCTATCTAGACTGGCCTGGCTTGTTTTCAGAGAAATGTCCCAGTCATCTAGCATTTTCTGGTTTAACATGTCACACTAATACGTTAATGTTTTATTAAAATATAGCTGCTCTAAAATATGCAAAGCCTATGCAGAGATAGAAGCAAGGCTAATACAATTATCAGATTATAAAACACCACAGCTAGTATCATACGCATAAGCTCTGCCATTGCTGAAAA